AGCCCATGGGACACACTGGGATTTGCCCACAACAGTTCACTGCATGTGCCACGGGATGAATCCCTTTTACTCAGCAGCTTCCCTGGATACCCACCACGGAGGACCCTTGGGTCAGGAACATGCTGGACATGTCTGAGAGGCTGCAGGTTGGCTTTGGAGGCAAAGCCCCAAGTTAAAGAGGCTCCATCACTTCCCCAGTGTCCTTATGCAGCAAACGGAGCCAGCGCTGGATTAATTATATTATATCATGATTGAGGCTGTTGCTAGGCTACAGCTCTGCTCCCTAAGCCCGTCCTACTGCGGGATTTCCCCAGCATCACTGCTTGGCTGGCTCCAGGGCATCCCTCAGGGCATCCCGAAGGATGGGCAAGCTCCACGGGCTCTCCAAGCACCAAGACGGCTGTGGGGATACTGCAGGCAGCAAACCCATCATGCACCCAGTCCAAACCCAGCCCAGGTCCATCCTGTGCGAGGGCTAGGGGTAGTCAGGCTTCTCTCTGGCCCTGCAGCCCTCCTGGAGGCTCCAAGAGCACCTGCAGCTTCACACATTCATGTCCTGCTAAAACCCAAGTTCCAATGACTTTTTCAGGTTCACTGCTGGGGGGAAGAAAGCAAATTCCCACCCCGGGTCTTGTGAAACCAGGGAAAAACTTGTTGTGGCCTTTGGGAGCAACAGAAATAGGCAAAGTTGCAACCCCCAAAGGGCAGAATTGGGGCACTCCTTGCATGTGGCCCTTGGCATCAGCCATGGGGAATGTTGAAGGCTGAGTGCACTGGTGAGGCAGGACACAGCTGTGCAAAAAGCCACTCCATCCCAGGGGCAGCAGGAGAGGGATTGAATGGGAATCATTAAGAACCAGCCCTGGCATCATCTGGACTGGCACAACCAGAGAGAAATGAACTCCAAGGGAAGCCTGTGCCAAGGACGGCCGTGGGCACAGCTGTGGGATGGAGGAGCAGGAGAGCAGGACAATGATGGAGCCCCAACAGTACAGGGCTGGGAAGGGGGAGGAGCACTTAAACAGTGTTGGCAAAGAAACAAATCAGGATAAATTGAGCAGGAATAATTCCGGATGGCAATGATCAGAGAGCTCCCATGCCCCCAGGCAGGAGGTGATGGACAGCTTTCCACAGGGATCAAAGAATCATGGAGTGGTATGGGTTGGAAAGGCTCTTAAAGATCAGCTGGTTCCAACCCCCACTACGGGCACGGAAATCCAGGAATGCTGAAAACTGGGCTGGAGTGTGGGCAGTGGGAGTTGCAGGGACCCGTCAGTCTGTCCTGGTGCTAGTGTTTGGCAGGGGGAGGAGCAGCCACAGTCCCTCTGACACAGGCGGTGCCTGCAGGGCTGTGCCATGCGGCTCAGCAGCTTGGGTCTCCCGCAGCGATGAGTTTTGTGGCAGCCACGGACACAGAAGAAGGTGAGGAACAGCGTTAGCAGGCAGGGACAGCCACTTGTGCCAGGAGACCTGGGCTGGCTGGCGGGAGATGCTGTGTACTTAAGAGGAATCCCTAGGGACAGGAGGTATGGCACAGACCGCTCCAGGCCGCTGGGTGCAGGGGAGCTGGAAGGTGTCCCCTAGCCTGGGCTCCAGCTGGGGAGTCAGAGGGCTGCCAGGCCGGGCGGAGCCTGCGGGATGGGAAGGTGTGTGCTCCGGAGTCTGACTGCACCCAGGCACAGCATCGTCACATGCTGCAAGTGGCCAGGGGTGACAGGAGCTGTGTGTGAGCTCTCACGCCGGGTTGTCCCACTCCAGGGACAGGTAGGGTAAAGAACAGTCCCCAGATAACACCCTACAGAGGCTGGGGCAGCACCCGAGCCCTGCCATCCCGGCTGGGAGGACACAGTGCTGGGAGCAGGGGCCCTCAGAGCTCTCTCCTGGCCCATCCTAAGGGTTTTGGCTCCAGGCTGGCACAGAGGAAGCCAAGACACAATCATATGGTGCCCGAGGGTGCCATGGATCCCACCCAGGCAGGGAGCAGGCAGCACCCTGTCCCCATGGCCGAGGCTCCCTGTGCTGTGCTGGGAACCAGCCCCAGCTGAAATGCAGGGATAAATCTGCTTCAAACCAGACCCTGCAGCTCTGGCCACTGTTAGCTGCAAGAAACTGCAGCTCTTCAGCCTCAAGCTCTTAAGTTTTTTTTGTCTTTTGGATGACTGATAAACCCAAAAGCAAATACCCGGGTACCTCTAGAGATGCTTGCAGGCACTATTTATATCGATGTGATCCTGCAGAAGCTTCCCAACAATGACAGGCACGTACACATCCTTTTTATATTTAGCCTGTTTGAAAGGCTGGGCAAGGCAGGGCCTGGCTCACACAGGGCCTGTTTGCTTCTCCCCTCCCTCACACTTGCTGGCACTGGACCACACCTCATGTAGCCTGAACCAGTTCAGCATTCCCTGAAAAAGGGAGAAGCCCAAGTCTAAAAAGACCAGGTTGGATGGGGCTTGGAGCAACCTGGGCTAGTGGAAGGTGTCCTGCCCATGGTAGGGAGTGGAATGAGATGAGCTTTAAGGCCCTTCCAATGCAAACCAGTCTGGGATTCTGTGACTGTGGGAAGTGCCTGTTTGCATCTCTTCCCTTCCACACTCCCAGTTCACCCCCAGGGTGGGATTTCTCCAGCCTTGCTGCCAAAGCCAAACCATGCCACATACTCTCCTGGGGCTCTAGTAAGCAGAGCCAATGCCCACATCTGCTCTTCTCTTTCACAGGAGTATTTTGGAACAAAGTGATTCATCTTTGCTTGGTTTTGCCTCAGACCCTTATGCTGACAAGCCACAGGGAGCGTGAAGGCTCCTACAGTGGCAAACCTGGCACAGGTGCCAGACACACCGAGGTCAGTATTGGTCCCAGCAGGGACTGGGCACCAGTACAGCCCTTGCTAACCACACCAAACCCACCCTGCCCTGCAGGGAAAAACAGCTCTCTCACGACATACTTCAGGTTTGGGGAAAGAACTCATGTTTTTTACATTCAACTCTTTTTTTGGAATGATTTTTAATCCAGTGCCCTGTCCCATGGGTGTGGGAGCACAGCAGCACAAGGAAGGGCATGGGACACCCTTCCGTGACACAGTGTGCAGGGACACGCAGCTCCCAGCCCAGGAGTGCTCTGGGGGACAAGAAGATGTGCAGAGGCAGGTGTACAACAGAGCTTTATAGTCAGAATGGACTGTACCAGGGGGTTTCGATGCAAAAATGGAACATGACCCAAAATCCTGATGAACAGAAGCACTGTCAGGACTGCAGCAGCCAAGGCTCAGGTGCCTCCTGGCCTTCACACAGGAGGGGCTGCACTCCAGTTCCATCCCAATCTTCCTTCTCCTCCCCAGATGT